CGTTGTATTGTACCGCTGTGCCTGAGCATTGCGTCGTGGTGTCGTTGAAGACGTCTCGACATCAGGACGATATACCTCGGGTTGGAAGATACCTCAAGGAACGCCAGGTTCGTTCGCAATTGCGAACGAACAGCAAACGGAAGAGGAGAAGTGTCCCCCCTCTTCCTCACCCCCGGCCGGTCTTTGCCCCGTTACATTCCCATTCCATTCTTGTTCTCCCAATCTTTTGCTGGCCTGTTCTCCATCCCGCCTTGCCCTGCCCTATCCAAACTTCTTAGCTCTTGATATTCACCCTATCCTGTCCTATCCCCTTTCATCCCAACCCATCCTCATCCTCGTTAGCCTGGCACGCTCGTTGGATCAGAGTTTCGATCAACGTCGGGCCCCGTCTCGTTTCCCCATAGTCCCGGCTTTCCCTAATCGTCCTGACGTCTGTCCATCTTTCAACCCCCAAAGTTGCCTTCGTCTCCATCTCTGGCGTGTATCCGTTTTACCGCCCTCCTCTTCCTCTTCCTCCTCCTTCCCCCTCGACACCGCATCCGTCACGAATCAGAACCATACTGTGGCCCCTCTTCGGACGGGTTGAAAAGCCGGTTCGGCTTGCATCTGACTGGATCGATAAAACACATACGACCCGCATGGCCCTCCGTCATACGTCCTTTCTTTACCTCCCATCTACGGCCATGGCGTGTGTCCTGTCCGCCAGAAGGAGACGTCGTCGTTGGGTTCCCGGGGGGAGGGGTGTGTGACTGCCCTTAACCAACGTGCCTGTTTGTCTTCCGGACTCTTCTGCGTACGCTTCTAGATTCTACACACACCTCTTACACCCACACCTTCTTTCCCACGCCTCGGCCCCTTTTGGAGCTAAAGCACCTTCTATCCTTCTTGACACCGCACGGGCGTGGACGGAAGGGAGGGAGGGATGAAGGAGACGGAGGGGGGGCCACCCCAAGCAACCACAAACCACACAGCCCAAGGTTGATGAAGGAACCCTCCACGCCATGGACGTGGACTGAAGACGTCCGTCCCTGCCCACAGAGCCCCATGCCCCTGGCTTGCAGGTTGCAGCCATTCCATCCTTGCCTCTAGTCGGTAAAAATGAGTAAGGTAGTGCGGAAATACTTTCAAGGTTGTACCTCCCTTGTCATCAGGTGGGTGGTTCGGCAATGTCTGGAACTGCATGTCTCTTGGTTCGCCGTTTTACACGACATGCATCGTTTTTTTCCCCTTCTGCCTTTGCTTGAACCCACATACCTACATTCTTCTCCGTGTGTCTTGTCTTGTCTTGCCGTGTCTTTTTTGCCCTCCCATCCTACTCTTTTGCCAACCTGCGTCGGCCAAGTCCGTGCCCCCTTGAGTCTATCGGACTGTTCTCTCCTTTCGTTTCTCCGTAAGTATCGACCCTGGCTACCAAAGTATTTGGCATCTTTCGTCTGGATATTCCAGACTCGAGAGATATTAGATCCTTTACCCGTTCCGGTCTGCCCACACCCATCCACGCCTTCGTGGATCATCTCCACCAATCCCACTCGTGATAGTCGCCTCCCTCGGCATATGCAGACACCTCTTACTCCCTTGCTCTCTCTCCGTCCTCGTCTTTGCCTTTGATACTTGCCGCGTTCTTTCCCATCATTTTTTACTTTCCTCTTGAGAAATAGGAAACGCGGCATGCAGACGTAGTAGCAATCTGCTTTCCCTGCTTCTCCTTGGTTGGCCAATGGCTCTGTCCATCATCACCCTCCCACCACCGTCCGGCTGCCACCCTTTCCAATTCCTACACCCTCCACATCCAAACGCATCATCGTCGTTGGATATCTCTCTCTTTTTTTTCACTTTTGTCTCCTCTCTTTCTCCACGGCCCATATATCCACATCAACAAGCGTTGCGGGTGAAGACAGGGTTTAGTCTATGCCACTTCCCTGTCACTAACGCACAGGCTAGACCAGGCCCAGGCAGGTCGACCGGCTGCCGCTCATCATGGTCCTTGTCAATGTCAATGTCCATGGCCATGTTCAAGGTGGACGTTGTTGTATGCGACCCTTTTGGCCGCTTTCTCTCTCTCTCTCTCTCTCATCATCCCATCACATCATGCCCTTGGACCATTCCGTCTGTTCCCCCTTCCGCGGAAGGAGACCCGGTTAATGATGAAGCCACGGCTTGTCATCGGACGAATCGAGGCTTGATGTCTTATCCCCCTTCCAAACAGACGAAGAATATGGAGTCCGAGGAGGGTTTCGGAAAAGTATAAAAGGGCACAACTTGAGCGGCTTGATTTCATTCACTTCTTCTTCCTTTCTCATCATCAGATTCTTGACTATCTTGAAGCTTCCATATAGCTTTCTCCAAGTTCTCTTCTTTGCTCAACAAGCAACTTCCTTGCACACTTGACTCTGTCTCACAGAGTGCCGCCATCCCCAGTCAACACTTGAACTTAGTCATCCCTTGTTTGCTTCAAACAAGTTCCCACATCGTACATACAAAGTACACGTCACGCCTCTATCGTCAACTGCCGGCCTCCACCTCCTCCCGCGCCCATCATGTCTTCCCACTACAACTCCCACTACACCCTCCCTTTGCCCGTCCCCTCCCACAAGGGCCAACACTACCCAAGCTACAGCAGCACCTACTCTGTATCGCCTCCAGAGACAGATGAGTCCGTCAGCTCTGGCACCGGCCCATCATACAGCAACAGCGGCTACTCTGGCGGCTACTCGGTGGCCAACTCCAGCTACGCCGGAAGCAACAGCGGCGACTACGAGAGCACCCACCACTCGGCCAGCGGTGTCGACTTCAACGACTACATGCAGGACCGCTTCGCCCAGACCTTTGACCCCATTCCTCTCGACCGCAACATTGCGGTCCAGGCGCAAACGTAAGTTGTTTTCCCGCATGCGGCAGCGGCGAAACAGAACAAAGAGGCTAACGAGAGGGAATTGCAAAAAATAGATCCGGAAAGCTCAACGCAAAGCACCGTGAGCTGCTGGAGCTGCAAAAGAAGGCGCAAGCTCGTCTCGCAAAGACGCGCGAGCGCTTCAACGAGGGTTACCGCGACGCTCAGGACGTGCGCGCGGACCTCGAGTGGACGCAGAAGAAAGTCTCGTAAGTTGCACCCTTTTTCCTCTCCAATGCCCTCTTCCGGGACTCCGAAAAATCCAAAGGAGAGACAAATCTGCAGTACTGCAGTATGCGATCCCAGAAGTTTCCCCGCGAACCAGTGGGGAAATATCTGGACCGGATTGCTGGTCCGATTGAATTGCGCAACTACAACATTGGCGTCGGAAAAGGAAATCTTTCGGGGGGGAAATCTGCGAGATCTGAGACATTGCGGCTAACACGCGGACCTCTTTTTTTTGTGCAGATCACTCAAGAGCAAGACTTCTCGCAAGCACACCAAGGAGTACAGCAAGGCCCGCGCTCGCTACCCGTCGCCCGAGTACTAGGAGAATTTTCCTCTGGTATTCTGGGTGGTTTGCTGCGGATTTGAGTTGCGAAAGCTTCTCAGCCGCGCGATACCGACGACGTTGAAAGCAAGCAGCGAGCTTCTCCTTTTTTTCAGCCTTGTGTTTTTTCCAGCGTGCCATTTTCAACTGCGACCAAAAGAAAAAAAGTTCCAGCCTGCCGTCACCAACACCACCATTGCTACTACCACTACCACCACACCACACAAAAAACGCACGACATACATACATCCCTGCCGACAAAACTGCAGGAACGAAGATACCAGATTCCCGGAGATTTACTTTGCATTTGATTTTCTTTGGATGAGCGCACGCCTCCCTCCATCTCCGCTTGTTTACTTACTATCATTTTTTTCTTGGGTACATATTGGGCTGGCAAGCAAGGGAGGGGAAGAGGAGACAGGGGCCCTAGGCGAACCTGACAGCCGGGACGGCTTGACGCGCAGCGGCACGGCGCGGGGCGAGCATGGGGGGGGCCCGCCTAGCCGCCCATCTCACGCTGCTTTTGTGACGGGCAGGACGGCGTACCTGCGAGCTGCGAGCTGTAGCAGGGTCGAGTGAGAGTGGGTTGAATGGGGAAGCATCATTCCCAGGCGCCCGGTAAACCTCCACACACACACGTATATGCCCCGGGCAGTTTTCCCCCAAGGTTGGCAGTCGTAGGGCTGCTGTGGGGTTCCGACCGACCTTCTTTTAACCTTTTGCCTTGAGAGAGAGGGGGAATGTTTTTGTTGCACGAGACGATTATGAGACATGATTGGATGAATGGGAAATGATTTGAGGCGGCTATGTTGTTAAAAGTACACCTCACCCCCTCCTTCCGAGGGCGACGGGGCCAGGGCCAAGTAGCCCAGGGGCTGCAGTAGTCGTTGGAAGGGTCTCTAGGCCGGTAGAACGGCTCGGTGGAGACGGGAGGGAGGGGACGGGAGACAAGGAGATCAGGCCAAGGTGAGGTACAAAATTGTTGGCAATCTGTCTGGAGGCGCTTGTCCTCTTCGGGGCGGTGGGATATTGCTCTTTCGGGAAAGATAGCGACGAGGAGCTGGGCGTGGGTCATGTTCCTCTGACCCCCTCGGTGGTTCTGTAGCGACGACAGGGTGTTTCTCCGTCTCGATCCATAGTCATATCATAATCTCTTCTTGTTCGGTCGTGGTAGCCCTTTGCCGGGCTGCTGGTCCACGATATGTCCACCGTAACAGCACCGTTGTGACCCAGGAGGCTCCGTAATGCCACCGTAATAATCCCCCAGACCTTGGCCAAGTCTAGGGGTCCCCATATATCAAGTGATATATCAGGTGATGAATGGGTCATGATGTTTCCCCCTGCCCTGTGCCCAGGCGGACAGGGATATCACGTGACATGATCGGTGAGGTAGTCGGTGAGTAGCATGTCGATATGCCAAGTGGTATGGTTGAGAAGGCGTCCAGGTGGAGGTGAGGTAAGCACGTCGATATATGTTGACCACACACTCTACACCATGATTCACACATCTCAAATGCCAGCCCATGTGACATTGAACAGTGACAGCCCGTCAACGTTCAATCAAGCCGTCTGAGCTTGGGCACCCCTCGCGACCCATGTTCCCTTGGACAGAACCCCAGCCTTCTTCTCAAGCTTCTCCCATGGGTTCTCATTCGACGCGGGGTCGTAGTAGCCCTCCCACCAAGGCTTGCCATCATTCCTCTGTTGCTGCTGGTACCCCTGGCGACCGCCACGCTGGTGCTGGTGCTGATGCTGGTGCTGGTGCTGTTCCGAGCGTTCCCTCGTCGGCATCGTCGTCGGAGCGGAGCCCATTTCCTTGCCCCACGACGCGTCGGGCCGCTGGGGCAGAGCCGATGATGTTGGAAGGGATGAAGTTGTGCTCTGCGCTTGCGGTGCCGAGGTTCCGTCTTCTGGTGCCGCGCCCCGATTGGCGAGTTCGTCTATCAGACTTTGCGCGTGGGCGAGTGCGGGAGCGACGGTTGGGTCTGTGTAGAGATTTGCGCCGCCTTCCTCTGCGTCCACGTCTTCTCCGGCGGCAGTACCAGCGGCAACCGCAGCAACGGTTCCGTCGTCTTCGTCGTCATCGTTGAGGGCTATCTCATCAGCGTTGGCGGCGGGATCAGCAGCAATCTCGGTCGTCGTCGACGGAGCGGGGCGTGGAGCGCGAGGGGCGAGGGCGGTCTGGTTCGCGCCGGTCGCGGAGGAGACGGCGTCGGTGCGGTGGTTGTATTTGCGCTTCTTGGCAGCCGGTTGGGTCCCGAAGGAGGCGAAGCCCATGAAGGCTGCCATTTCGGGGTCGATTGCGAGGGAGTCGTCTTCGTCCATTGTAGGCGGTGAGGAGACTAGTCACACGGGGTTGTTTGGAGCGTCGCGAAAAGGTGCTCGCTGTGTGAGAAGTTTGGCGATGACGTTGGAAAAAGAGATGTTGGTATGGTAGGCCGATTTCCTGCAGGAAAGAAGCAGCTCTGGGTGATGTGGGGAGGTAAAAAGGCAGTCAGCCAAAGAGGAACAGGAAAGGAGCTTTGGGCGCGGGAAGAGCCGTGGACTTTTATCAGGGAAAGGGGAGGGAAAGAGAGAAAAAAGGTCAAATTAAGACCCTTGTTCGGCACTGGCCCGCTTAATTACAGCCTCGTGGGACTGGGGCACAGCTAAATGATTCAAGGTAGGGGAGTTCCAGAATTCCAGGGTCTTTGAATGGCATGTCGTCGATAAAAGAATGACGGCCGACATGTTCGGGTATCTACGGCTGTAAATTTGGGCGAATGAGAAAGCAACAGTTCATTTGCGAATCAAAAGCATTGTGAGAGGAGTTGCATAATTATACCGCTACTCCCTTGGTAAGGTAAGTAAGGTAAGGAATTGGAGAGGAAGGGGAAATTGCGCGAGTCTCAATCGTCAGTGCCGCTGAATCGCTGACATCATTTGAAACGCGACAAAACTCCGTACCCCTGGCGCGGATCCCGGAGCTTGGGGCCATGGTTTGCGCTTGTCTTTCAATTTCATTCCAATCCAATATTCCTTCAACGACAACCTCTTCCCGAGAGACCCCAATTACAGCAGCACCAGTCCGAATCGCAGTCGCACACGTATACCCGAGCTCTGAAACGCGACATCTATATCAAAACCCTCCCTCTTGATAGTGCTACTCCCGACAAGCTCCACACAAGCTCCGAAGCACCATTTCAACCTCCACGATATCCACCATATCATCATCTTCACAACATCAAAACACGCATAGAGCATCATGGCATCCCCACCAACAACAGTCACTCTTCGCTCCCCCTCGAAATACACAACCACCTCCTCCCCGTCATCATCAACTTTTGCCGCCCCGTCCCTCGAATGGCTCCTCCGTACCTGGTCCGTAACCCACTCCACCCTCGCAATGTGGCGCGACGCCCGTAACGTCCGCATCTCCTACGCCTCCATGGCCCCGAAGCCAGACGGCACGGCCCGCATAGACGACCTCGTCGAGTACGAGTCCAACAAGCCGCCCCACCCCTCCGCGGCCGTCAAATCCGTAAAGGGCGTTGATACCGCCTGCGCTGTAGGGGATACCTCCGTCTGGGACTGGCGTGGTAAAGGGTGGTTGTTCTTCGTGGGCAGCCATTGGGAGGTTCTCGGGTGGGGGGAGAGGCAGATCGAAGGCAGCGGGGAGGTGGAGAGGTGGGCTGTTACGTGGTTTGCGCCGACGGTGTTTACCAAGGAGGGTGTTGATATCTACTGCGATCGCAAGGAGGGGTTGAGTGCTGCTGGGTACGAGGAAGTCATGGGCGCGCTGAAGGGGCTGGAGGCCAAGGAGTTGGTTGGCATGGTGGAGAAGGATATGTTGCCTGTTGAGATTGCGTTGCCCTGGAAGGAGGCGTGAGTGTTTTGTTCTTGGATGCTATGTTGCCTAGTTCAGGCATGTCTTTGAGTTGAGTTTGTATAGTAGTGACATAATACCTAGGCTGAGCATCTAGTCTTATATCTATAACCCATCACAATAATAAACAAACCAGCTCGCAGCTGTATAGTAGGGCAACATTGATGTCTTGGTTCGAGAGTCCTCCAGCAGCTGTTAATATTTGTGGAAATGTCTCTAGAAGTTACTGGCCCTGACATTACTCTGTCTTATGATCGAGGAACTTTTGAGCCTATATCTACTTAAGTTGCTTTGTCTCCTTAAACTACTACCTCAGATCGTTCATAGTAAACTACTCTCCCAGCCCCTGTTGGTGACAAAACAAGGTAAGCTATACAGAAAGAACGTTGTTGACTTGTTCCGAGATTGTTTTTAGCGTGCGTCTAGCATCTTGTAAAGGATGATACGTGAGGGGGTATGGAGATACTCCTTGTTGGTGTCATGAGTTCTACAGAGTCAGTGTCTCTTGTGTTCACGGATGTTACTCATAGCAGATGCTAGCCTACCCATAATTGTTCTTCATCAATTAAATCAAGTAGTCCAACGACTCGAGCCGCGAGGTTCAACCCCTTTCTTCCTCCAGGTTTGACCAAGACTTGAAAACATTGTTTTTCGTCATATCCTCGGGGCAGTCAGACCGTCATTGTACAATTGCTTGCGAGCTCAGTTCGGTGGATGTGATGGCACATCGTAATATGGAGTCAATGTAGATCGCGCTGACTTGGAACTCAGATGGTAAATATGAAACTGATTTTACAAGAACATATGCATGCACCCGAATGGACAAGGAGACACTTTCCAGAGACACAGTCAAGTAGATCAAGGTGGAAATTCGTATTCAATTTCAGTACCATTATCATTATGTCCTCCGAGTCAAGTTTCAAGCGAATGAAATGGGTATACTGCAAAGCCCGTCCAACGTGATCATGCCGATTCGAGGTATCATCTCCCGGGCAGGCCTCTGTCCATCCTTACCCCAAACCTCTCCCGCGTGCTACAAGTACATGTTTTTTTTTTTTCTGTTTTTACTATTTCGATGTATGGAACTGTTCGTCGCAATGGGGTATTTGAAAAATCAATCGTGTCGGAGTATCGTGAAGCGCAAGGGGGTATTGACGTCGCAGCAAGAGAATAGAATCAAAGCGTAATTGGTGACAGCCGTAAAGGGGTCGGCCTTAGTGTGACCAAGCTATTCCCCCACACGAGACCTCAAGTCAGCACTTGGTGCGAACTCAAATGTTTTCGATGACACGAGAGTTAATGGCTTGCTGGAAGCCGGAATCCTGACCTCCAAAGTCGTTGAAGTCGCCAGTGCCGTGGTTGGCACCGCTCGACTCGCCCGTCTGGTTGTTGCCGCTGAGCGACTGCTGGATGTTGGGCATGGTCTGGCCAGGGCCAGGCAGGAAGATGACCTTGCTGTTGGAAGACTTGGCCATCGCCTGCATGGCTTCGAGGTAGCGGATCTGCATGGCAGGGGCAGACGACAGAATGTCGGCAGCCTGGCGCATGAGCTTGGCAGATTCGACCTAGGTTGTGTTAGTTATGAAAGGCACTCATATGACATTTAAGATGCGTACCTCAGCCTTGGCGGCGATAATCTTGCTCTCACCAATACGCTTGCTCTGGGCGGCCATTGACAACGATTCCTGCAACTCTTGGCTGAAGATTATGTCCTTGATGAGCATGCTCTCAACCTGGACACCCCATCCGGCGGCGACATCCTCAATGATCTCTCCAATGGACTGGGCAATCTCCTCTCTGCGCTCAATAACATCCTGGAGAATGCGGGCACCAACGACGTGGCGGAGAGTAGTCTGGGTTCGCTCCATAAGAGCCTGGCGCACGTTGGAGATACCGAAGGCGGCTCTGTGTGGTGCGACAATGTGGTAGTAGATGACAGAGGTGAGGTGCAGGGTGACGTTGTCCTTGGTCATGCAGGTCTGCTGGGGAACCTCTGCCATTTGAATCTTGACGTCGACCTGAATGAGCTTCTCGCTGAGAGGGTTGACCTTGACAAGACCAGGGTCGACGGCCTTGTAGAATTTCCCAAACTTGGTGACCAGACCGACATTACCCTGGTTCACGTTCTTGTAAGGGTTCGGGCAGACGATGCAGCAGGGGATGGCACCAAGAGTACCAATGCAGGCACCAAAGGTGTTGACTAGTGATATTGTGTTAGTGGTTTGCGATAAGCTTGGAGAAGAGGGGGTTGCAGGTATAAGACATACTCATGGTTCCATACCAGCCCTTGGGGTTGGCGTCTTCGGCGACGACTCTGGCGTAGCTACGCTGGAGATCTTCCTTGGTGGGAGGCTGGACCGTCATCTCATTGTGAGGCTTGAAACCGCCCTGTCCAAGACCGAGACCGCCACCGTTGGCCGTGGTCTCGCTGCGCTCCTCATAGTCGGGGGCGCGGGCCTTGCCCGTGGAAGTGCTCTCGTGTTGCGGGGCGCTCATCGTGGGCGAATGCGATCGGGACGAGTTGGCTTGGAGAAGGTGTCGTGCAGATGTATCGGAAGAAGAAGCTTGTCGAGTACGAGTATCTAGATGATCAGAATCTTCGTTTGTGGATTCTGAGTGATGGACCATGTGTGCTAGCTAAGGTATAATTTGTGATGGATGGGGTGCGCGAGGTTCTTAAGTAGACGACGTCTGGGGTAGGTACGAAATGGAGATGTGTCGAGGGGAGGATGAAGACCGAGGAGTGCACTAAGAGTTCTAAGACCAAGGGATCATAGACACCCGACGGGTCTAAGAGCAAGGGTCGAATCATTCCGTGGAACAGGGTGGGCTGTGTTTGTGCCCAGGAGCTCTGGCTTCTTGGGGTCATCGTCTTGGGGCCTTCTTTCTGGTGAGGTAGTGGTGGTGGCACTGAGCTATCGGCAAGCGCGATGATAGGCGGGAGAGGAGAGGAGAGGAGGCAGTCGCAAACCGCGAAAAGGAAGCTACAGGAGCCGAAGGGTGGAGCAGGGGTCTTGCAGCACCTCCCTCTCCGTACCATTCCATGTCACCTTCTTGCCTTCAACCTCAACTTCTTCGAATGTGCAAAAGTGCAGGAGCAACCATGCATGGGTGGAGCTAGAGGTACCTCCCCCATGTTCCAGTTGGTTGCCCCGTCTGTGTCCGTGGGCTGTTGAACCGTGAACGGGCAGGGATGCGAGCACCACCCACGAATACAAGTGCACAGTAAGGTAGGAAAGGTACGCTGGAGCCATGCGGGGCAGAAGTGCCCGACGGTGGAGAGCACCTACCTGCACTGCCCGCGAAACTCCAACATGCGGTGGCCCATGCTCAATTTGAGCTTCCTTCCACCTACCTTACCTATTCACGGTCACGGTACACCAAAACGTTTCCTGATTTCTTTCTGCCTGCACTAAACATCTTGCTGACTGTTCTACTCGGCACACATTCCGCATCATCATCACTTGCCCAGATACCTACACCAGGGTAGCCAATATGTCGAAAAGATCTCGTGGTCATGGACGGCCTCAAAAAAAGCCGCAATACTAGCAGAATCGACACCGATGCGACGGCTTGACTTTCCATATCGCACCCAATCGCGAAGCTGCCGGTCTGCCGTCTTACCTTCAAGGTGCCTACACCCCAACCAGATTGGCATGGTTGCTTCTTCTCCTTTGCCCGGATAGACAGCGCGACTTTCACCCTCAACTGCGCGCATCGACCAAGTGTGATCGCCCGACTGCTTCCAAACTATACCACGAGGGCAATGTCGCTGCTCCGCCCTCTCCATTCTTCGCTGCCTAGGCAACAAAAAAACCTCACGATCCGATCCCAACGGTCCGTCCTTGGTGGCAGAGCGGTGGCGGAACCCAATCCGTCCTTCAATCAGCCTTGGCTAGAGCCAAGACACGCCGCGCACGGGGTTGATTGCTGACTGCTGACTGCTCAGGGCGGGTACTCGGTCATGGCACCTTTGCCCTTCTCCAACGTCTCCGAGAAAAAACTGCACACCATCCCATCCAAACGCGCCGTCTGATCTCGACATGCTCCAGGCGGCTGTCTGTCTGCCAGGGGCAATTGAATTACTGCCACTATCAACTAAATGTCACACGCCAACGGAGAACGTTTCACACATCATTCATCTCTGTGTCATGATATTCGGGGCCCTGTCAACCCAACATGCTCAACAGCCAATCAACGCTCTTGCGCGTGCCGACTTCCGCCAAGGGAGGGCATGGCAGAGTGGCATGATATCATGGAACCCCAGCGCCGAGATTTGGAGAATCCTACACTACGAATACTATACCCTCAAGTCAGACATCGCGATTGTCCGCCGACTGCTTTCAGTTAACAATTGCATGGCATAGCGAATGGTTTGTTCCAAGGTATCTTTCCGTTACCTAACGGCTCCTGCGGCCGGAACCTGAACAATCACCAACGGATCCTTCATCGCAGAGCCTCTCTCAAAGTCCGAGGAATTTGGAGACCAGGGAATGACTTCATTGACTCCGCTCTTGAGGATGCGCCTCCAACCGCTCGTGCATATTCTTACATTATACGTACTCCGTAAGGTAAAGTGGTGTCTTCTCCACTCAATCTACCGTCGCCGCCCAGCTTCTGGGCAGAACGCCATTCACAACTCTCAGCCTCCGGATCGGCCAATCCACGCCGGCTGCATGTCTCCACCTTTCCGAAAGTGGCCCTAGCGTATCTCCGGTACGCGTGACCCGGCACTGCCCCGCCAATATTTGTCGCCCGGCGAACTTGAGCAACAATTTTCAATTTCTGCCTTTCCGCGCATCAATATCTCTGCGTGTTTGAGCAACTTGGCATTGTATTCCGGATTGGCCAGAACTTCGGCCGATCTTCCGCCTTCATCCCGACAAACCAACACCAATTTCCGGTGGCGACCCGCGGGCGGCTGCGATCTTTGCCCGACTCTCACCGAATCCAGCACCCGGCGAGACCGTCTCCACGTTGAATCCATAACCTTCGTCACATGCTCCCGCAGGGCGAACGCAGACTCCGCAAGGCTTAAATGGTTGACTGATTTCCTCCTCCGCCATCCTTGTCGTTCTTACTGCGTGGTCCCGCTTGCAGTGCAAATGTGGAAAGTAGCTGAGGTCTCTTCGAGAGAATCTCTAGATCTTACTACTCCGAATATGCCCTAATAAGCTCAGCCACCGACGAGCGCCCCACCGTCGAATCCTTCCAGAAGCCTTCCTTTTCCGCCACCCCTGCGCCGCGGTGCATCCCTCGTCCACGATCTTGCAATTCCATCGTCATTCCCATTTTGTACGAGGTTGACTATCTAGTAACTAGCTGACAATATGCAATGCCTAAGAATCCATGTCACTTTTGTTTTGTAGATCACTGGCACGATCCCGTATAAGTAAGTCAATGTGGCAATGGCTGTGTTTGGGTCACGATACCTACCCTAGATGTGGAGGAAACATATTACCTGGGCAAGGCAAAATGACCCGCACGAAATAAGCTATCGAACTCTTCTAGAAGGTCCATCCTGTGGGGATCAATCACAGGATGGCGATGATCAAGGGCGCGGCCTGGTTCCTGGTTCAATCTTGAGCAACACTAATCCCATGTCTACCGCAACGCCTTGCAAGACACATCCAAATAAGCAAAAAAAAGAAACAGCCACTTTGCTAAGAATTATTACCACCTCGTTCCACAAGGCAAACTCATCACATCACTGCCCTCTCGTCCCCTTCATCCCCTCAAAATCCTCCACAATAGCAGCATGATCCATCTTCCACCCAGGGCTCATGGACACCATCCAATCCCCCTCCAGCAACTTCTCATCCTCAATGCTCCTCCTCGTATCCGCATACGACGCCGCCCAGATACTCCTATAGATCCCCTGCGCCGGATAACTCACCAACCCAAACGTCGCAGCCGTGCTCTTCGTCACAAGACTAACCACACCCTTGCCCAACCCCTTCGCCGCACCCAGCGCGCCCTGCTCCTTTTTGCCCGTGTACGTGTGAACAAAGATATCCGTCAGCCCACCCTTCATGTCCTGACAGAATGTCTTGCCCGCCACCGAGACGCCGCTGCGGAACCCTTCGACGGCGTCGTGCTTGCGGACGGGCTCGCCGTAGAGGTTCGGCACCGCGCGGAGACCCTCCGTCACGGCGAGAGGTATGTCGACGAGTAGACCTTTCGTCGCGTTGCTCGCGAGTTTGCCTACGCCGTTGGCTGCTGCGGCTGCCATGGCGCCTGGTTTTGCGCCGTTGGAGGATGATTCTTGGCTACCCCTGGATGGCGGCGGCCGGGCCGAGGAGGATTTCTCCTCGGCTGCTGACGCTGCCGCTGCCGCCCCGTCTGGGACCCCAACGCCGGGAAGGGGTAGCATGGCGAACGCGGGCGCCTGGCTGTGTCTTTGGGTGTTCTCGAACTGCTGCTGCTCGAGGTTCTCGCCGGACTCGCTGGTGCGTTTGTACTGTTCAAAAGGCTTGACAATAATGTCGGCTGTGGCGCCTGCCATTTTGACGATTGTCGAGAGGGACGCTGCTGATACTGCCGTCAGGGGGTCCCATCTTTGGTTTTCGATGTTTGTTGGTTTCGATCGGTATCTGCAAAAAGAACCGTGTCAATGAGATGCGACCTCGAAACGGGTGAGTGTGATCTTGTGTTCACGTACAACTTGAGCTGCTTCCGCTGCAATTTCCCATTCTTGACCAAAATGGACGCGACAGGCCTACACATCTTGACCTGCTTCTTGCCTCTCCCGTAGACGAGCGCCGCGGGCTGGTCGGAGAAGAAATCACACCCCATTTTCGACTGCGGCAGGTTGGCGTGGAAGGCGTCGACGGCGGCCTGGACGCCGTCCTCCCTGTGCATCGCGTCGGCGAGCTTCCTGGCTGAGCGGACGGCGTCCGGTGAGAGGCAGAGCTGGATGGCCTGGATCAGCTTTTGGGATGTGAGGGAGCGGTAGGGGATGGGGTCTGGTCCCGCGCCGGCTTCTGCCACCACGGCGCCCCAGAACGGTTGGCTATGGGAGAAAAGTGTCAGTAAAAACGTGGCCTAGGTGGTCCGTATTTTACTCACTCTCCAAAGAAGGGTACAATGGTCGTTGGCTTTCCGTATCTCAGCCCGCAGGCCGTGGTACCGGCGCCACCGTGGTGGATGACGGCGGCGACTTGCTGAAATAGCCATTCGTGCGGGCAATCTCCCACGTAAAACACTTTGTCCGACGCTTCGCCGTTCAAGTTGCTCCAGCCCCTCGAAATAATAGCTCTGACTCCTGTTGCCTTGATTGCGCTAAGGACCATGGTCATGAGGCCCTCGATTCCGCCAACCACGATGCTCCCGAATCCGACGTATATGGGTGGCGGGCCGGCCTTGAGAAAGGCTTCTAGATCGGGAGGTGGTATATACGGTGCAGGATCGCGGAAGAAGAAGCCGCTGATGTCTGTTGTTGTTGTTGATGCTTAGCTTGACTTCTTCATCGAGTAGTTCTTAATGAGGAAACTGACCAATGTGCGGGCCCCAATCGCTGGGCTTGGGGACCAGGGATGGCGACCAACAATATGTGAATGGAACTTGAAGACTCTCCAGTATACGATGTCCCTCGGTAGACGGAACAGGTTCCAAGCCGAGTGACTGGACTCTCCACGCATTTACAAGATCTCCCAAACTATTTTGCTGTCAGCATCGAGCCATTTTGTACCAGGGGTTAGAAACGGACTCACCCCTGCCACGTCAAAAACTCAACAGCAGCATACGAAGCATGATTCGTACTCTTCTTATCCGCCTTTGAAAACCCAATATTCGCCAACGGATGCGGAAACGCCTTCGTACTACTCCACGGCATCGTAAACATCAAATGCACCGGGATCCCCAGCGCCTGGGCACAGTGCACGTGAGCGAAGCTCGGCGGGTTGGCAATAATGGCATCGGCGACAAAGGGAATGTTGGAAAGGGGGTCCGGGTGGACGCAGGACCGCCAGAAGCCGTCGAGCATCTCGACGTACACGTCGCGCTTCCGCTGGATGATGCCCGCGCGGATCTGGGACATTTTGGGGATCAGGGAGGGGGACTCGACCATGTATGCCATGAGGTCGGCCGGATCGCCGCCGACGGGGAAGAACTCGATCTTGCTTGGAGAGGCTGGGACGGAGTTGTTGGATTCGAGGACAAAGGAGGAGAACTGCGGGTGCGTTGCGATGCGGACGCGGTGGCCTGCTTTCTGGAGGGCGGAGGCGAGGGCGAGGAAGGGCTGGACGTCGCCTCGGGAGCCGACGACTTGGATTACGATGTTGAGGGGCATTGGCCACTGGCGTTGAGGTGTGTATTGGGGTGTGTACTCGGGCGGTGTCTGGTCTTCGGCTTGTGTTGAGCTGGATGGTTCGTCTTCTATATAAGACCGCGTTAAGTGTTTGCTACAGAGTTACTACGGGGCCTTTGGGCTGCTTCACCTTCGAGGTAGAGGTCTTCGAGCCCCAAGGCTGAAGTCTTTGACTCCCTAGATGATCCAAACGTCTCTCTCTTTTCGCCTTCCATGTTTGTGTACTTCACGTGCTAAATAGCTGTGTGGTGTTGAGAGTGGATAGTAAAGGAGGACTGGGAACTAAAGTAGGAGACAGGGAGGGGCAGGTTCAAGTACATATAAAGAGACTTAAGCATACCTTGATCTACCTAGTACCTTGCCGCATAGCCTCCTGGGTAGGCCGCGTCAGGAAGTCGGCTACTCCCAGTTTAGCCAGTGGATCTACCTGTTGCTATCAGCTAGGCATCCAATGTCATGAATACGAAATGAGCGGCCCGAAACTCAACTGGTCTCGCTGCTTCGGGGTGCCCTTAGATGGAAGGGAGGTGTTCCTTGCTGCTTAGAAAAGTCTGATGGTAAGCTCTGCCATTTGTCTTGTTGTCATTCGAACGATCCTGTCACTAATCTACGAGACTTTGCTTTCGAAAAATGCCGGATGTTTCCAGAATTAAGATGTGCTTTGCTCAGTCTTACGAGCTCTCTTGCTCCCAAAAGTCGATAAATCTCTATATGCCTTCCAGTAATCACCCATTTTCCGCCCACAAATCCAACGCCGTGCCTGTGTGTATTGTAAATGAGTCCAAACCCCGCAGTCTATCTAGACGTTCTCTTCCCGACTATTGGGAATACCCTTCAATTCGAGCTTATCCCCTTCTGACTCTTGCTTCTTCACCGTCCTCTTCATCTTCCTCGACGCACAACAAAACGCGCATCCGTGAATAGAGCTCAACAACCACAACAGCATACTAACCCCCGCAATCCAAGCACCCGCAGCAAGTCTCGAATTGACTTCACCCGTAACGTAGACCTTGTCCTCGCCGCCCACGACGATGGTCGACGAAAGACCGCACAGCGCGGCCCAGAGGACGGCCAGCCCAAAGTCCCAGACGGACCAGGCGGCGTGTGTGACTGTCGCGAAGACGTGGTAGGCGCACGTCAGCGCCGAGAGGACAGCGGGGACGAGGGCATAGATCCAGTTTGTCGTACTGAGGTTTTCTGTCGGGAGGGTGTTCCAGGAGCCGAGAGTGGCGGCGTAGAGGCCTATCGTGACGATGGCGAAGACGAACTGGAGGATTCGGATGCAGGCGCGAACCCAGAGGCCGAAAGCGCCTGAGAGTTGCCAGTAGTCTGTGTTCATGGCTCGGCTTGTGGTATGTGGTTTGTGTTTACAAGCTGTAAGGTACTTATGAAAGATGAGGAGCTTGAGGATGTTGATGCGTTGGTTGAAGGAGAGAGAAAGAAGTTTGGATTCAGGGGAGTAAAGAACTGGAAATTGATGGATGGTAGGGATTTGAGAGAAGAATGGAGGGGAGAGGGGAAGGGAGAGGGACGAATCTCGGTACTCCTTCCCGGGCGATAAAAAGTCAATGGATCTTTATCCTTGCCGACACTGTTAAAGACGTCTGGAAAAAGAAGAGACGCAAATTTTCCATACGTCGCTGCTCAATGTCATCTTGGTTGCTTTGGTCTTTGGTGCGTGTAAGTCATCAGCGGGGTCTCCCTCGTCCCTGAATCATGGCGACGAGCCAATCAAAATATTTCCGCACATTATACGAAAATTCGCTCGTTTTCAATACGATTATTTTGTGACTACGAAGTCCGGCCCCTGTTTTGGTCTCCAGCCTTAATTACTAGTTTTACCCAATCCCTCCCTCCCTGGTCCTAGCATAACGACCCAGTAACGAGTCGCACTACACTTGATGACTGGGATTTAGATCATGTTCCTTCTACACTAGCGTACAGGTTGACAGGGTCACCGGCAAATGGCCGATCGCATGGAGCTATGCGGACTTGGCGCGGCGTACGACGGTCCTCACTTAGTCTGGGAGGTGGTACCGAAGCCATACCGTCATCACAAACACCGAATCATGGATGGACTCTTCCTTGATACTCCATTTTCCCATGCCTTGTCTCACTAGGCGTGGCATATTGTACGCGTCTCGGAGGCTCGGCAGTCAGGATTGATACCCTCATGCCCTTCACGCTGTTGACATAGCCTTGTGGAACCTCTCTGTCGAATGTAACTTGGACTGGGACGACTGGGACTGTGACGAAATTGGTATGGAGAGTCTGTAGCGAAGGCAGATACGACAACAGCCAAGTTCCGTTCAATGATACGAAAATGAGGAGATAACAAAGTCCTCCGTGTTCATATAAAGATGATTGTCGAGACAGGATCATGGCCTTCTCAAAGTTAGCATCCTACAGGCAAGCATACAAGCCCATCACCCTCTCTCGTTACTACAATGGCAGCCAAAACCGCCATCTCGTTCCTTGCCGCCGTTTCCGCTCTAGGCGCTTCTGCGCAGCAGACGTGCAAAATCACCCCCGACGATGCTGCATGGCCGTCCGATGAGGACTGGTCGACGCTGAACGCAACAATCGACGGTGTTCTCATCAAGACTCGGCCCGCCGCATCCTCCTGCTACGCCGGAAACCCGTTTGGCTCCTCGCAGTCGTGTGAAGATGTCGAGAAGGGATGGGGATACTCCGCCTACCACGCATCCCTTCCCGAGTCCATCGACTCCTCCATCTACGCCAACAACTCGTGCCTCCCTCCGAGTGAGTCCGCGGCCAAGGGCTGCGAGATTGGCGGCGCGCCGCAGTACGTTGTGAATGCCACGACGGAGGAGCAGGTTGCTACTGCCATGGGCTGGGCCAGCTCGCGCAACATTCGTATCGTCATCAAGGGAACTGGGCACGACCTCAACGGCCGGTAAGACGTCTTCATTTTCATCCTTGGAGCGTTTAGTCTACTAAACTGACCCCAGCTCTTCCGGCGCCTACTCGCTGTCCATCTGGACTCACAACTTCAAGCAACTCGAGTACCACCCCGAGTGGAGATCCCCCAGCGATAACAGAACCGAGGCGGCACTCACCTTGGGAAGCGGCCACAACTGGGGCTCCGCCTCTCGAGGAGCAGCCAAGTTCGACAAGGTTGTCGTCGGGGGCGTCGACGAGACAGTCGGAGTCGGCGGACATATGCAAGGAGGCGGCCACGGTCCCCTCTCGAGCACATACGGCCTCGCGGCAGACCAGATCCTGCAAGTGCGCGTTGTGACGACCGACGGCCAGATCCTCGTCGCCAACGAGGCGCAAAACCAGGATCTTCTCTGGGCCGTCCGCGGCGGAGGCGCTGGCCAGTACGGCCTCGTCTCCGAGTACGTTATCAAGGCGAACCCCCCGCCGGGCAACGTGGTCTCCAGCGGCATTCAAGTGTCCGCCGTCGGCAACGACACGGCCTCTAGAGAGGCGGCTTGGAGAGGTGCCGCGGCTCTGTTCGCCAGTGTGCCTGACCTGATGGACGCAACCCTCACGGGTACCGGCATGGTTACCGCCGGAGCTTTGCCGGCCAATTCGTCCGAGACTGTCCGCAAGGTCACCGCCTCCATCGGCTTCTTCGCGTACAACACGACAGCAGAGAAGATGACCTCGCTCCTCGAGCCCGTTCGAGCCCGCATCCTCGCCGAGGTAGGCAACAACTCCGTCACCGTCACCCTGAGCGAGCCGTCGTCGCAGCCTGACTTCATGAGCTTCTTCGAAAGCCTGAATACGTCGCCCAGCGCAGCCGGCGCTGGAATGATGACGAGTCGCCTCCTCGGACGCAAGGAACTCGTGGAGACTCCCGTGTCGGCCGTGTCTGCGTACCTCCAGCGCCTCAACGTACCGCAGAACCCCACAGGTAGCGCCCTCATGGTAATCGGTCTTCAGGGCGGGCTGGGGCCTCGCAACGTCCCCGAGGTGATGCGGGGTGCCCTCAACCCGATGTGGCGCTCTACATACATCCACCTGATGAGCTACGGCGCATCGGCGGATCCCAACGCATCGCCCCAGGAGGCTCTGAGTGGTGTCGCGCAATGGCTGGAAGAGACCAAGGAGCCCATCTGGCGCGAGTGGGCACCTGGTGCTGGCTCGTACATGAATGAGGGCAACGCTTTTGACTCCATGTTCAAGGAGGACTTTTACGGTACTTCTTACGACCGCTTGGTTGAGATCAAGAGCAAATATGACCCTACCGAGAGTCTTTTCGTCTTGTCGGGTGTCGGAAGCGATGCTTGGGACTACAACCTCAACAGTGGTAAGTTGTGCAAGTCGGCATAGTTTGCTCGGACTAAGGGCGGTGTTTCGATGACCGCCCATGATTGGCTTGGCTTCGATGTCACAAGTAGCTATTTTCTGCCCTTCTCTTGTAGCTAGATATATCATTCCTACTGCTGTAATTAGAATTTGCTTGGCTCTCGAGGTTCTCCTGGCCGCCGATGGTCATCTCGTTGTCGCGAATCAGAGTCTCGTTTGCTTCGTTCGATTTTCGTCTCAACTCTTCCTTCGTGGCGGCTCCTCTCATCTCTTCTGGATAGCCTATCGCCTTCATCCCTTCTTTCATGTCGTTGGCTTCTCTCTTCATGATGACGTTCCCTGCTCCGGGGGCGCTCATCGTCTCGGCTTGACCGAGGATATCGTTCGCTGTCCCTCCTTGAACGGGATCTGGCTTCACCATCATCCTCTCCACGAGATCTATCTCGAGGGTGGCGTTCTTTATCCCTCCGGTGCTCTCGTCTCCGCCGCTCATGTCTCTCCTTTAGCTTCTCCTCCTTGCGCAGCTGCTCAAGCTCTCTGTGTCGCTCAGCTTCAAATCTTTGGCGCTCCTTCTTCACTTCTCTTACTCTGGATGCTCCCATCTTCATCATGGCAAGAGGATCGTTCGCAACTATCCTCTGTTCGTTTCTCTTCTTTCTTCCTGGGTCTTCATTTCCGAATGCGTCCTTGCCGGCTGGCTCGAGCTCTGCTAGTTCAGCTCTTGATCCAGATGCTGCGTACCAAGGGCCGACCAGGCCGTCCTTCCCGGCGGCATTTGACAATCGCATTGTGTATTGGTCCTCGATTTCCTTCTTCTTTTTTGCAGCCTCCTTCTCCGCCTCTTCATTTTTAAGATGACGACCCTGTTTTCGTTCGTCGCCAAAGAGGTCAATGTGCCCAGCTGCATCTACGATCGGCGCAGAGCTGGTTGACTTGCGCAAGGTCTCGTTGGCTGTCTGCACGACGCCTGAACGCTCTCTTGCAACACGTAACTCAAAGTCAGTGTCGTCCTCACCAGCGCGCTTGCGCTTCTTCCTCTCCCTGCCGAACGAACCGGCATCACGGTCCCGACGTCTTGGCTCATCTTCAGGAGTTTCTTCTGTTGGCGGCAGTGGTGATGGTTCCTCGCCCCGTAGGATAGCTAGTCGGCGCTCGGCATCGACCTCTTGCATGCGCTGCTCCTCAGCCTCCTCCTTGGCCTTTGCGGCAGCCTCATCGCGGCGAACACGGGCGATGTTGTCTGCATTGTAGACGTTCCAAGACTTCTTGCCCAGTAGATGTCTGTTGATCAGTTAGTCTCTGCCTAAATCGTAACAATCGGGATATGGACTTACAGCGGCATACTGGTTGTTTGAGCTCTTACCCCCAGAAAACTTACCTTGAGGAAGCGATTGGAGAGTTATGTAATGAAGATGATTGCTCGCAATGAGACCGAAATGCGAGCAGCTCCAGTGAAGAGTCCCAAAAGGGACTAGACTGGTTCTCGAGCCAATCGACGTCATTAGTCAGGCGGCAGCTGGAGACCTAAAGTAGGTCAGGCCCGGCAACGGCAGCTGCGTGCCCCACTTCACTTTGACTTGCGCCTTCCCGTCGTCAGTCGCTGGAACAGCTGCACAATGTCACAATGGAAATTGCTGAACAACTCCCCTTGTCAAACTTTGTTGCCTATTTACCTTATAGTAAGACTTATTTTGTATAATCAACTCATGATACAAATCCTACGCCTGAAGATGATTAGACGCCCTCTTACACTAAAGTTGCACAGGCAGCAAACGCTTCTGCAAAGAAGGCATCTGGAGCATCCTCAAACTGGCCAGAGTTGAAACAGATTGAACACGGTTACAAACCACTGCTGAGATCCACATAAGCAGCAGCGCATCTTCCATGCCATTCGCTGCAGCAAGGGTAAGGTAAGGGTCCCCTCGATACGTACCTGCTTCGCCTTGTATCCATTTGGCCCAAACAAGGTTTAGCGCTCCCCGGGCCCAGGGGACTTGAAGCGAAGACGAAGCCGCGCAGCCCCTCCAACATCCACCATTCCACATAACACAGTACATAACTTCCCCTCGTCATCCTCACCGTCTTCCTCAACACATCTCAAAGAACAAGAACAAGAATCAGAACAACCCAGCCCTACGAATTCATAACCAGTCTCACAACTAAGCGATCCCGTCTTTTCTGCCACACCGGCCGAGCGTCTCAGACATGAGCTTTCCCGAGAAGCCGCTCCCCCGCGGCCAACCGCAGTCGCCGAGACAGCCCGGTGTGCGGCTGAGGATCGAGAAAGTCAGGGACAAGGCCCTGCAGACCCAGCTCATCTATGCCAACGTGTAAACATCTCGAACACGCAGTCACTCCTCCGCTGCTAACCATTTCTCTCCCAGCGCTGGTGTCAGCTACCGAGACTTCGCCCCGAGCCGCGACGGCCAGGACATCAACGTCCTGATTCGAGCCAGAGACCCTGTCCGAGGAACAGTACGAGAGAACGTTGTCAGAGCGCGACCAACACCCGAACTCCCTGAGGGTACCATCAGTCTGTCCGACCCGCAACGATCATGGCTGAAGATCGGAATGACCGACACCTTCGAGGGTGAGGTGTACGATGCGAACAGACAAGGCGCAACTCACCTCGAGGCCATGGACCTCGAGCTGTCCTGGGCCTCGATGAAGAGAGACCCCAACTACGAATTCAAGCACGAATACTTGGCCAAGGTCTTTGAGCGTTTCTTCCAGATGCACTTCTTCGCACCCGGTCAGCGCACTCTGTTGGACATCGAAGGTCTGAAGATCTTCGCTACCGTGAAGACTATCACTTTTGCGGGAGGCAAAGGCCCCGACGCCGTCGTCACATCATCGGATCCCTCTGCCCGCGGATTCTTCAGCACGAACACGCTACTGTCCTTCTTCAAGGGGGCCGAGTCGGATATGAAGCTTCAAGTCGGTGAACACCAGGGTAACGCCAACCCCATTATCTCGCCAGACTTCAAATTTGAGGATATGGGTATTGGTGGTCTCCAGGACGAATTCGCCACCATTTTCCGCAGAGCTTTCGCTTCCCGCGTCTTCCCTCCCCAGCTGGTAGCGAAGCTGGGTATTCAGCACGTCAAGGGTATCCTGCTCTTCGGCCCCCCTGGAACCGGAAAGACACTGATCGCTAGACAAATCGGAAAGATGCTCAACGCTCGTGAGCCCAAGATTATCAACGGTCCTGAGGTTCTTAACAAGTTTGTTGGTCAATCTGAAGAGAACATTCGAAAGATGTTCGCGGATGCTGAGAAGGAGTACAAGGAGAAGGGCGACCAGAGTGGTCTTCACATTATCATTTTCGATGAGCTGGATGCCGTCTGCAAGCAAAGAGGCTCTGGTGCCGGTGGCGGCACTGGTGTTGGTGACAGTGTTGTCAACCAGCTTCTCACCAAGCTCGACGGTGTTGACCAGCTTAACAACATTCTGCTCATTGGTATGACCAACCGTAAAGACATGATCGATGAGGCGCTCTTGCGTCCCGGTCGTTTGGAGGTCCAGTTGGAGATTAGCTTGCCCAACGAAGAGGGTCGCAAGGAAATCTTCATGATCCACACTGCCAAGATGCGAGACAACAACATTATGGATTCCAAGGTTGACCTCGCCTCACTGGCAGCTCGCACCAAGAACTACTCCGGTGCCGAGATCTCTGGTGTCGTCAAGGCTGCAACTTCATTCGCCTTCAACCGTCACACTGAGGTCGGCAACAGCGCCAAGATGAAGAATGATGTATCCGCGATGAAGATCACCATGGATGATTTCGACAACGCACTGACCGAAGTCAAGCCTGCTTATGGTGTTTCTGAAGACGAGCTGGCGTTTGCCCTTGGCATGGGAATCCTCCAGTTCAACAACAACATCCCCGCCATTATCCGCACGATGCAGGGCTACATTGACACAGTCAAGGAGTCAGATGTACTCAACAGGATACCAGTCCTTCTTCACGGTCCCCCGGAGTCAGGCAAGACTGCTCTGGCCGCCCACACCGCCTCCCTTTCAGACTTCCCCTTTGTTAAGCTCATTTCGCCTCAGCACTTGACTGCTTTCAGAGATGAGTTTGGAAAGAAGGATTACCTCACCAAGGTTTTCACCGACGCTTACAAGTCTGAGCGTAGCATCGTGATTTTGGATAACTTTGAGCAACTGATTGAGTGGAACCCCATTGGGCCACGCTTTTCCAACACGGTGCTCGACAGACTTATTTCCCTCATCCAGACCCAACCACCAAAGGTCAGCTTCAATTCCTCTTGCTTGTTTACGTTTTGATGACTCGTTACTAACTCCGCCCAGGGCCGTCGTATTCTCATCATGGTCACCACCTCAGAACGCTTCGTGCTCAGCAACTTGGGTGTTCTCAAGCACTTCCGTAGACAGATCCCAGTACCCGCCATCTCCGATGTACGCGAACTCGCTCAAGTCCTGGACCAGTCAGGAATGTTTGGCGGCAACGACATCCAGACTGTCATCCAGTCCGTACGCAATGACACTCGGTCAGACAAGATCGGTCTTGGCATCAAGACGATTCTTGAGTCAATCGAAGAATCAAAGATTGAGGCATCTTCACAAGGCACCGACATGCTGGAGAGTTTGGCAAACAGGATTGTGACGGCTATTTCCTCCAATGCCCTAGACGAGTAAAGAAGGAACTCGGAGGTTGCATTACATATTATAGAATAGACTCTGAATAAAAGAAGTCAAGTTCCCCAGGCAATAAACGTTTCTCAATCATCATACATACAAAGCAGAGTCCTTCAAGTATATCGATTGCCTCAGTGATAATGGTGAAGCTTGGAAGAGGGAGGCCTCTGGCTTATGTAATCCCGATAAACTTGAGGGGCGGCCATGCAGACCCGCATCGCACCTGGTGGGGCCAGCAGTGAGGTCACAGTGCACGGCACTAAGCCGAGCTACCACTGCAGTAACTTTCCATCTTCCATCATCCACCATCCACCAACCCACCTCGAGATGGCCGACAGAGCACGATCAAGATCGCGCTCGCCTCGGCGCGATCGAGACAGAGACAGAGACAGAGACAGACCACGGAAACAAGGCGGTTTCAGATGGAAAGACAAGAGCCGCAGAGACGACCGCGACGACGGCAATGAACGAAGAGGCCTGGAGCGAGGCTACCGCAACCGTTCCCGCTCCCCCCGGCGCGACCGCGATCGCGACTCGGACAGAGATCGCCGCAACGATCGCCGCGGCGGCGGTGACGACAACTACAGACCCCGCGACTCGGGCAGAGACAGGGACAGAGAAAGAGACAGAGGCGATAACAACAAGCCCACCGCCGGCGCCTCAAGCTCGAAGGATGCGCCGACGAAACCCAAGAAAGAAAAGTCTGTACCCGCGCCGGCTGCGGGCGGCAGCGAGGAGATGATAATCGTGCACGTCAACGACCGTCTCGGTACAAAGGCCGCGATCCCCTGCCTGGCCTCGGACCCGGTCAAGATGTTCAAGATTATGGTGGCGCAACGGGTCGGACGCGAGCCGCACGAGATCTTGCTGAAGCGCCAGGGCGAACGGCCGTTCAAGGATAACCTTACGCTGGAGGACTATGGTGTCAGCAACGGTGTGCAGCTGGATCTTGAGGTTGACACTGGTGATTAAGGAGGTTTTGAGGCTTGGGTTATGGGGTTGGTTTTGGCTGTGGAGGGCTCATTCAAGCTTGCGGCGGTATGGGCAGCACTATAACGATTGGTTTACCTTATTCTGGCGTTATGGGGGAAAAGAGTACACTACACTATGGAATCAGGTCTGGAAAGTCTAGATGTCACCGATACCCGTACAAATACGATGGTATGCAAAATTCACATAAGATCATTGCTTGAGAGCTCAATGTACCGTCCCCATAGTTCCACGAATACGCACCCAAACCTTCATCTGATCACCAGTAGAGCCTTTATATGCCCCTCCAAGTCCACTCCTGTCACCAGCCAGGAGGCGCCCGTCTAGGTCGACGGGTCAGGTCAAACTGGCTGGGTGGTGGAATGGTTCATGGTCAATCAACAATTAATTTCTACACCAACCAGCCTACTCGACGACAGGCTAAGCGCATACGAGTCCCTGAGTTCGAATCCCAGCATGAGCACCAGAAATTTCCCAGTGTGAGCACCAAGAGATGTAGCCCCTAGTTCAGCACCGGGGGGGTGAACTCTTTTTTGCCGTCACATGGATCTTTGGAACTTACCTCAAACCAAGTCACGTCGGACATTAGAGTTTCTACTAGTGAAAGCGTCAAGTGAAGCCTGCTATGGACGTATGTTGTCTTATCTCGCCTTTGATTGTCTGACGTCCAGTGTTGAAGTTGTGCTTCAC